CACAAAACAGTTATTTTAGATTGTAATAATATTTCAGAATATTACTGTATTTACTGTATTTTTGAGCAAATAAATGCAGCCTTGGTGAGCATAAAAAACTTCTTTAAAAAAAAAAAATCTTATCAATGCAAACTTTTGTACAGTAGTGTGCTGCTTACAATATACAGTATATTGTTAGAATACCAAGCTAATTTTGAATGAATATCAGTGGAAAATATGCTTTTTGCATCCACATGATGTAGTTGAAAGCTATGGAAGACCGTTTCCGCCACTGAATAAAAAATAAAAAAGGTAATTGCGACTTTTTATCTCACAATTCTGACTTTTTTTCTCAGAATTGCGTGATACAAACTCGCAATTGCGAGTTAATTATTCCATAGAAAGCACTGTCTGCCTCAGAATAAAAAAGAAAAAAAAAACAATGAAAAGGTAACTATGAGATAAAGTTTAAAGAAAACATTTAGTGAAAGAGAAGTGACTTGTTTGCGACCCATACTCGGAATTTGTGCTCTGCATTTAACCCATCCAAGTGCACACACACAGTAGAGTTAAATTACTGTTAAATTATGTTAAAGTTAAATTATGAGACACAAAGTCAAAATGACGAGGAGTAAGGTCACATTTACAAGAAAAAACATATACAGCTTTAAAATATAAAGCTCCTGTTGTGATATAACAATATCATTATGAGATTTTAACTCACATTTGTGACAAAGTCAGATTGTGAGATAAATCAAAATTGTGAGATATTAAGTTGCAATTGTGAGATACTGTACACTCAACTATGGAGAAATGTACTCACAATTATGAGATATAAAGTGAAATTATAAGATAGAAAGTCACAATTATGATAACTAAAGTCACATTTACAAGACTCACAATTGTAAAATATAAATCTGCTAATGTGATATACGGTAGTCACAATATCATGTGACATAGATGGTGACATAGTTTAAAGAAAACATTTAGTGAAAGAGAAGTGACTTGTTTGCGACCCATACTCGGAATTTGTGCTCTGCATTTAACCCATCCAAGTGCACACACACAGTAGAGTTAAATTACTGTTAAATTATGTTAAAGTTAAATTATGAGACACAAAGTCAAAATGACGAGGAGTAAGGTCACATTTACAAGAAAAAACACATACAGCTTTAAAATATAAAGCTCCTGTTGTGATATAACAATATCATTGAGATTTTAACTCACATTTGTGACAAAGTCAGATTGTGAGATAAATCAAAATTGTGAGATATTAAGTTGCAATTGTGAGATACTGTACACTCAACTATGGAGAAATGTACTCACAATTATGAGATATAAAGTGAAATTATAAGATAGAAAGTCACAATTATGATAACTAAAGTCACATTTACAAGACTCACAATTGTAAAATATAAATCTGCTAATGTGATATACGGTAGTCACAATATCATGTGACATAGATGGTGACATATAAAGTCACAATTGTATGATAAGATGCAAATGTGAGATATTAACTCACAATTGTAAGATTTAGTAAAATTATGAGACAGTCACATTTACAAGAAAATTTTTTCTATTGTGCTCAGTGTTGGGAAGGATACTTAGGAAATGTAATAAGTTACGATTACAAATTAACCTATTTAAAATGTATTAAGTAGCGTAACTATTTCAGTTGCTTTACTAAAGTAATGTAACTGATTACATTTGGTTACTTCTTTAACTGTTAATCATTGTCAAACATTTAAAGAAGTCAGGGTTAATCTTACAGCAGTACTCAAAACTGATTACTGTCAGACTTTCAAAATCCTTCATCACTTGAATTAAGATTATAATAATTTAATTTTAATGCACTGCCACCACAAAACCAAACTTTAGCACCTCATTGTTACTTTGAGATCATTCTGAGGTTAAATACAGATTTAAAATCATAACAAGAAAACTTTTTATAGCTTTGATACTGTTTTTGAAATCAAATCTTTGCATTGCTTGACAGAAAACACTGGCATCTAAAAAACAGTTCATCTTAAATTAAGTTAATCATATACAATATACATAAACCCAAATAGGAAATAAAACAGTTATTTAATAAGTATGTGTCCTAAATTCCTGAAACATTGGTGTCTAATATTTTAGAGTAAACATTTCAAACATTCAGATGTTACCCTTTATAATCGTTAACATTTTTATAAGTAACTAATTTAATTACACATTTTTTTCTCAGTAACTGTAACGTTTATTTTGTAATTATATGTAACACGTAACTAGTTACTCCCCAACACTGATTGTGATATAGTAACACTATCATTTTGATATATAAATTGACATTTGTGAGATATAAAGTCAGATTGTAAGACATGAAGTCAGATTGTGAGATATTAAATCAAGATCGTAAGTTTTAAAGTCACACTGTGAGAAATTAACTGTTGTATTTAAGTTGTAATTAAGATATAATGCCAAATAATGAGAAACAAAGTCACATTTACAAGAAAAACATCAATTATAAAATATAAAGTTGCAATTGTGATATATTCACAATCGTTATGGGTTTCAAATTAATAATTGTGAGATATAAAGTTGCAATTGTGATATATTCACAATCGTTATGGGTTTCAAATTAATAATTGTGAGATATAAAGTTGCAATTGTGATATATTCACAATCGTTATGGGTTTCAAATTAATAATTGTGAGATATAAAGTTGCAATTGTGATATATTCACAATCGTTATGGGTTTCAAATTAATACTTGTGAGATATAAAGTTGCAATTGTGAGTCACAATTACTCTGAGGCAGAAACAGGCTTTCATACGGTACATCACAGTATCTACGAAAAACTAACCAGCCAAGCCTGACCCAAAGACATTCACTTGGGACCAAAGGTTAAAAAATAGATACATAAAAAAACAATGTGTCTTGTGAAAGAACAGCCCTAAAAACGCAAAATTAACAACACAGCACAGCCTCTTGTATCTTATTGCTCTCTTGTTCTTGTTGCAATATTTCAGACATTGCATCAACACAACAACCTTCTTGTGATGATGACGAAAGGTTTCCAAATGTAAATAATGGCCATGTGGCATGTGACACACGAACAGATGGGACCAGAGAAAGACACGAGTAACCTCCGCCACTCAAAAATGACAAGGAGGCATCACGTTTATGACTATCAGTTTATACAGCAACGTCAAAGACGACATGACAGCCTGACGACACATGACAACTGATGGAGCTAGCATAACTAGCACAGCCCTCCACACTGCTGGGCTACGGCGGTGGGAGCGTGTAGGAGCACTTATGTGGAGTTTAGAGTCTTACATTTAGCAGCAGAAACAGCACATCAACACAAGAGTCCATCTTCTTTTGGTAAAGAGACAGAATACTGACACAGAAAAGGCAAGTGTAGTGTAACTTTTCAATTACTTTATTAAAGTAATGTAACTGATTACATTTGGTTACTTCTTTAACTGTTAATCATTGTCAAACATTTAAAGAAGTCAGGGTTAATCTTACAGCAGTACTCAAAACTGATTACTGTCAGACTTTCAAAATCCTTCATCACTTGAATTAAGATTATAATAATTTAATTTTAATGCACTGCCACCACAAAACCAAACTTTAGCACCTCATTGTTACTTTGAGATCATTCTGAGGTTAAATACAGATTTAAAATCATAACAAGAAAACTTTTTATAGCTTTGATACTGTTTTTGAAATCAAATCTTTGCATTGCTTGACAGAAAACACTGGCATCTAAAAAACAGTTCATCTTAAATTAAGTTAATCATATACAATATACATAAACCCAAATAGGAAATAAAACAGTTATTTAATAAGTATGTGTCCTAAATTCCTGAAACATTGGTGTCTAATATTTTAGAGTAAACATTTCAAACATTCAGATGTTACCCTTTATAATCGTTAACATTTTTATAAGTAACTAATTTAATTACACATTTTTTTCTCAGTAACTGTAACGTTTATTTTGTAATTATATGTAACACGTAACTAGTTACTCCCCAACACTGATTGTGATATAGTAACACTATCATTTTGATATATAAATTGACATTTGTGAGATATAAAGTCAGATTGTAAGACATGAAGTCAGATTGTGAGATATTAAATCAAGATCGTAAGTTTTAAAGTCACACTGTGAGAAATTAACTGTTGTATTTAAGTTGTAATTAAGATATAATGCCAAATAATGAGAAACAAAGTCACATTTACAAGAAAAACATCAATTATAAAATATAAAGTTGCAATTGTGATATATTCACAATCGTTATGGGTTTCAAATTAATAATTGTGAGATATAAAGTTGCAATTGTGAGTCACAATTACTCTGAGGCAGAAACAGGCTTTCATACGGTACATCACAGTATCTACGAAAAACTAACCAGCCAAGCCTGACCCAAAGACATTCACTTGGGACCAAAGGTTAAAAAATAGATACATAAAAAAACAATGTGTCTTGTGAAAGAACAGCCCTAAAAACGCAAAATTAACAACACAGCACAGCCTCTTGTATCTTATTGCTCTCTTGTTCTTGTTGCAATATTTCAGACATTGCATCAACACAACAACCTTCTTGTGATGATGACGAAAGGTTTCCAAATGTAAATAATGGCCATGTGGCATGTGACACACGAACAGATGGGACCAGAGAAAGACACGAGTAACCAACGCCACTCAAAAATGACAAGGAGGCATCACGTTTATGACGATCAGTTTATACAGCAACGTCAAAGACGACATCACAGCCTGACTACACATGACAACTGATGGAGCTAGCATAACTAGCACAGCCCTCCACACTGCTGGGCTACGGCGGTGGGAGCGTGTAGGAGCACTTATGTGGAGTTTAGAGTCTTACATTTAGCAGCAGAAACAGCACATCAACACAAGAGTCCATCTTCTTTTGGTAAAGAGACAGAATACTGACACAGAAAAGGCAAGTGGTGCGCTGGGGCCGTCTAGCCAGGGGGAAATCAGGGCCCGGAGGCTGGACGAGGAGGGTGTTTTTTGAAGGCACCTCCTCCCAGAAGTGTGGAGGAGCAGGGAACAGTCCACGAGCCCCTACGTTTGGCAAGCTGGGGTCCACACAGGCTATCCTTTAAAGCTTCATCCGCTTCTGTCTCCTTCCTCACTGCTGTGGAAAAGAATGGGGAAATGGGGATACAAGGAATGAATGAATAAATGAATAAATGAATGAATGAATGAATGAATGAATGAATAGATAGATAGATAGATAGATAGATAGATAGATGTAAGACATAAAGTCACAATTATAAATAAAATAAATAAAAAAATTTAAAAGAAAGAAAGAAAGAAAGAAAGAAAGAAAGAAAGAAATCCTAAGTGTGATTTAATATTTTAGAATATAATATACTTGGAATTAAAGTCACATATATTCTGAGAAATAAAATTATGGTGTATAATAATAATAATAATAATAATAATAATAACAGTAAAGCTAAATATTTTTGAATATAATATAATCACATTGTGGGATAAAATGGAAAGTAAAATTGTGAGAAAAAAATTCACATGTGTGATATTAATTGGCAAATGGTGAGCAATAAAGTCACATCCTATAATTCACAATGTGATTTCATATTTCAGAATATACTAGTTGCATTATGAGACATTAATTTGCAATTGTGTGATTAAGTTAAATTCTATACTACTACTACTAATGTTTTATTCATAAAGTACACAATGCGATTTTATGTTTCAGAACATACAAGTCAATATTGTGAGATTTTAATTCACAATTAGATGATATAGTCATATTCGGAAATGTAATTAATAATAATAATAATGTTTAATTTATAAACCCCAGAATTATGTTATATTTTAGAATATAATATAATCATATTGTGAGATTTAAAGTTATGATTATAGAAATTAAAATATAAAATTGTGTATTAATTTGCAATTGTGAGATACGGTCACATTCTACAATAATAATAATAATAATAATAATAATAATAATAATAATGTTTTATTTATAAAGTTCACAATGTGACTTTATATAGTACCCTTGTGAGATGTAAAGTCACAATTATTAGAAATAAAGTGGCAACTGCGAGATATAAAATCACATTCTGATCTACCAGTTAAATGCACAAAACTAACCAGCCAAAACTGACCCAAATGTGAAACTAACTAGGAAATAAATAAATAAATGACCCATTGCTAGGGTGGTTGCTAGGGCATCTTTAAATGGTTACTATGGTGTTTAAGGTTATTACACTGACCCTCTTTTAATGTACATCTGCAGGATTTTCACTGTTCTCCAGGTACGAATCCTGATGACTAAGAGCTGTAACAGCACACCTTTCCTCAACAAGTCACATGATTTGAGGTGTCATTTATGTCTGGAGCACAAATGGCCATGAATGAGTTCAATTGAGAAAAACTGTCCTACTTGTATGAGTGAAAGTAACAAACGACGCTATATATAAGATTTCGCTTGGCAACATTTGATCAAACTATCAAAACTGTGTCAGCAATGGAGATCATTATTTCTTCACGGTCGTTCGAACTGACCCAGAAACAGGAAGTAGATCTCGCTTGTCCTGAATGTGGTCCAAGAGGAGGACTTTCATTTAGGTCTATTATGCAACGTGGAAGACGAAAACAGCAAAGCCTTTTAAAGGGCCAGAAATGGCTCTGAGGCTAAACTAGTAAAGAAGAGTCGCACAGGACACACTAATGTCCAGAGAAGAGGGGAAGTGTGTGCAGACAGCATGAGATTGGCTCAAACGACAAGTAGCCGCTGTAGAAGAAGCCAGACAGGAGCTGCTTGTGGATGCAGCCGTGCAGAAGAGCTCTCTAATGCTCCCCAAGAAACACAGCTTGTCCTAGATTCCTTGCAATGACATGCGCAATGTTGCAGAAGATCAGATGGATGGTTGTTTGCGTGTCTCTCTGCATTAAAACGCAATGAAATCTAGAGGCCGGGCCTCACAAGCTTTTATTGTATTCCCGGGTCTCTTTTCATTTTAGCACAGAACGTGTCTGATATTTTAATCTGATGACATTGCGCTTTAGAGATTCACACAGTTTGTTTCATCCTGAGATTACTTCATCTGCTGTATCAGGAAAACAGGCTACTCGAGTGAAAAGACAATCACAAGTGAACTGGGCCTGTAGGAATGAGAGCTATGACTGATATTTTACAGGCTGACTGACAGATTTTAATATGCTACTGCACATCAGTGACATGATATCAGAAGTTATGTGCAACAACTTGCTGTGCTGTTTTCAGTTGGGATTTTCTTTCTCTTTCTCTTCACATGAAGTTCATAAGCAATTCACATGCCAAGTGCAGCATTAAATAAGTCAACATTGATGAAAATAGCATAAACATTAATAAAAATGGCATTGGTAATATAAATGTGTTAATATATTTGAATTATACATGTTTTATACCTGTGCATACCTAAGAAGCAGGGTTATTATAGTTATTATAAAATTCTATTAATTTATATCATAGTATGAAAAAAGTGTATTTACTCGTATTAACTAAGTGTTAACTAGTTGCCAAGGTAATATTTCACTTTTTTTGTTTAACTTGATATATTAAAATACCTAAAACTAAAATAAAATGTATACAACTGGATTGTTAATATAAATGTTAAAATATATTTGTTAATATTAGTTAATATAAACATTTTTACATGTTTTTTATTGCATTACTGTGTATATTACTAAAATAACTACAATAAAATAAAAATGATAGATATAGATCTTATAATGATATAGACTACACACGCACGTGCACACAGACACACACAGACACACACACACACGCATGCACCTAGGAAGCAGGGTTAACATAGTTATTAATATATTTATATTAATTTATATTAATATTTATATTAATGTTTACTTACTTGAAATAAAAGTAATACAAATAAGTATTAACCAAAATAAAATAATATGTATTTATAAAATTTTATCTTATTTTTTAGCTAGGTGCATGCAATATTTCGTTTTTTATTTAGTTTAAATTGATGTACTAAACTAAAACTGAAATAACAATTATATAAACAAATGTAATAAAACAAAAACTCACAGAACTAACAAAAACACACAAAATTACTAAAACTTTAACTAAAATTAAAAACAAATAACAATTACTAAAACTGAACTAAAATTAAAATGAAAATGGAAAATCTAAAAATGAAAACAAATTTAAAATATGTAAAAAAAAAACCATAAAAGTACATTAGAGATACTTAGCAGATTATATAGATTTCAGTTATTTAAAGGTGCAATAGGTGATTGTCTTCAGAAACATTTTTTGTTATGTTGGTTGAAAGTCTCTTCACATCCCGATAGCAATCATTAAGTTAAGTGGTCTAAATGTATTTATCTGTATTTATATATTCTGTGGAAGGCTTAGGACCAAGAAATGTTCGTCCAATCAAAACACTCGGTCTGAGCGTTTTAATTGGCTTTCCTACCTGCCTGTCAACATATGTATTAGCATACCTTTGCGCACCCTGTTCGCACAGACAGGATACGTCATCAGCGC